AAATAAAGACAGGGCTTGCCATAAACATGAGCGCATCAAAAACAACGAGGAACCTACTTTGCCACTTCTTCAAACGTGCTTTCCACTGCTTTGTAATTCAATATGGTCATAGAACGCATAAGATCACCCACCAACACTTGGTCACCCTGAAAAACGGTTAGGTTCCCTGTTCTAAAAGACTGTAGCACAAGAGCTTACCTTCACTTTGATGAACAGAGCAGTGATATAGTTGAAGTGAGAGCACTCCAGTCGCAACTCCTTCTCTGCAGTCCACTCAAACAAACGGACAGAGCTGAAATTCATATGCTCTCTCGCTCGCAAGTTCGAGAACCCTCCTTGAATCGCTCTTACCCAGTGGGTAAAATTGTTCAAACATAGTACAAAAGGGTATCCAACGACAAACCTATTAATGGCGACAATAAGCTTGCCATTGAGCACATCCATATCGAATGGCGCACCGCGTATTTCTTTCTCATGCACCAATCGCAAATGTGTCCGCTCTGAACCTTTCCCCGATTCAAAAACTAGAAGACGACCCTAGAATAATCCCTTCGCTAGGCAGATGTACATAGAAAGCGCTTATAACAAAGAATACACTAACATTTTTCGATTCCGTTTCATCACTGTAAACAAGTGCTGTACCAACAACGTAATATGTCGTCGGATCATCCCCGAGTTTTGTAGAAATAACGCTGAAATAAATCAAATAGTGCACTTTCTGAACTTCTTAGATTAGAATATAAATCTATTAAAAAATAGAGCTATATATCAGAAAGAAGAGGGGAGGAGTAAATCCGATTTCTCACCACAAAATGTAAAACAGCTGAGTTTAAAGATAACTGGACAGAAAGAGCCGAGACAATTAGTATTGAAGTTTCGATAGAAAAAAAAAGAAATCGAAACTGGCGGAAGTATGAGAGAAGAGAAACTCCTTCAAGTAAAAAAAACGAGCAAGGTGAGAAATTCTGGTACATCGGTTACCTTAAAGCCTGTTCACAAGTTCCGAGTTCATGACAATGTAAGTACTCGAATGTGTTATCATCAAGGGTGACAATGGAGTGCACATCACCATCAGTTGCATCAATAGAAATCGACGGCCGCTGACCTTAAATAGCACATTACAAAGAATAGTAGTTTCGAGAGTAGCAGAAACATTTCAAACAAACCAGATGTCGTTTTACTTGACGACCTTGCCGTTGTCATTTTTGATACGGAATATCGATCGGAATCCTTAGCGTATACGATCTTTACCTATATTCTTACATATGGATTAGAATACATATGAACAACTCACGATTGGACGGTTCACAAGGATGGCCATTGTAGACGTTTCAGGTTGGTGGACAACTCGTCGCACAGATTCCCCAAGTGGCACTGTGCGAATGTGAAGTTTTTGAATTTCGTCCACTGTTCCAATAACAATGGTCTCTCCATCAGACATCACCAAGCTATTTCTAAAAGGCACAAGATTGTATCTCCCTTTGAATTCCCAATCTCACAAATTACCTGTACGATGACGAGTTCAGGGCACACACATGGGTGACTATGCGAAGATTTACATTCGAAAACACAAGTTTTCCGTTGGACGAGAAAATCACAGCGGGGCGGTCACTGCATACGAATATATGCATCTGACCACGAGTATAAAAGCGGTTCAAACTTGGCGGCTGAGTTCCAACGGTAGCTTTTTTCATTTCCAGTAATGCTCCTACAATTAGGTATGAAATATGAAAGGTGTCAAACACAGGATGAGGTAAGAGCTCACCGTTTTCCCTATCAACGCGATAGTAGTATAATGTGCCGTCACCCAAGGCTACCATTAAATAAATCGTATTCTCTAGCTTCGTCATCATTATTGAGCGCGGTAACATATCGCCAGGCATGCTTTCACAAGTTACCTTCAAAGAGTTTATATTCAAGAAATAAGTGATATGAAAACATAAACAAGCTAAAAGGAGAAGTGAAAGGAAGCATCACGCAAAAGTCCTGTTGGGACATTCGATTTATCCAACGGATTTATGCGGCACTAATAACCACAAGTTTTTTGCTACTAAACAAAACACATGACATTCAGTATTTGCGAGCCCATGCGCTTTAAAGCACTAGGAAAAACGGAATAAGTGCCCAAATACCAAATAATTGCAGAGCAACTAACCTCAACCAGCCCTGGTAAAGAATACAGCGCTATTCTGTGATGCTTCCAGAAACCTAATGCGATAATCGTCGAATCCTTTGATTCCTCTGAAGCAACATTATCATAAAATAGAGTTATTTAGAAGGGATGGCATGTTAATTCAGTACATCAAATTGACCATCCTGACGTACCTATTGTGCCAATATCAATGCATGCCACCTCGTCTTGGAGAGTCGCATTCGCCACCTCGGTGATGGTCATATCACCACATTGAAGGTAGTAAATACGAGTGCCGCAAGCGACAACTAGCTAAAACATTGGAACTAAACACAGGTTCCATATAAAGTCTGAAACGATTCTCCTTAGGTACCTGACCACTTCCTTGATTTACAGATACCAAGTTGATCAGGTTGCTATGCGACGGCTTCCAAGCGACTTTTTTAGATCCTTCTTTAGCTAGCAATACAGTGGTCGATGTTACCTGAAAAGGAGCTACACCAAAGGATTTTTGCCATAGAGGACCAGGCTGCAGAAAGTGAGACTTTGTAAATTGGAAATTAAAGAGGCATATATGAGAGGGTGACTAAGAAGCAAAAATAATAAGACAAAGATAGATTGAAATTTTTTGAAAATGAACAAGTAAGTAGCAGTGGTTGAAACTTGATCTTACCTGCAATACAATCTGCGAAGACCCTAGCATTCCAGCCCACAAAGTATGCTCGTCCGTCTCCAGATCTGTATAAGCATACATCAAAGATTCCGTAAAAATTTCTAAGCGTTAAGGCAGCATACCAAGAAGCTGAGTATCCTCCAATTCTTCTCCATTCATAGCTAATATGTGAGTTTCCGAGTTCAAAGAAATAATTAGGTAGTTGTCAAGTTTAGAATCGATCTTCAACGTGAAGATACCCTGAAGAGAACAGTTTACCGATTGGCATTAGAGAAGTGACATAAAGGGATATACCTTTACACCTGGAATATCTACCGATGCGGCCTCATCAATACCGATACCATTCCGTATTATTCGAAGAGAGCCTTCCTTAATCACTATCCACTTATTAATTTGGACTTACAAGGAAAATTCGAGACCCGAACCTTAAATGCTCCAGAGCACGTAATTATTTGATTCTGTCCGTCACATTCCATTACTGCAATATCCCTAATGGGGGCGAGGTTAGTGAAGGTCTGCAGTATCTGAAAAACATCCTTGTCGAATGAAAACCTGCATTCTAGACACATTAGCATCCCAGAAAAGTTCATTTATATCCACAATCTCTCGGATTACAGTACTGTATGGGTAAGCCAGACATTCTTGTAGGACAATTAGGCTTCGTAAGGAAAGAATATATAGACAGGTAGGAAATAAAGTCCTCAACACACAAAAAAATTAACTTGATATTATATAGTTACCTGTACAAAGGAATTGGTCTCCGGATTCGGCTGTGAAGTTAATCGGACTAACTGGGAATCACCAAAACGAGAACCAACGAACAACACACCATTATCCAAGTACACCAAGCACTCCGCAATCGTCGTTTCCCCTAGCGATTCGATCTTAAAACACATCATTGATATTCGCACTGCTCAAGCTAGCATGCTAATAGTTTCTCTTCAATGACAAGAAGAATTCTAAAAATTGAAAGACTTACCTTCAAATCTTTTACACCAGGACTGGGACTTTTGGCGTCTACGTCCAATACGAGCATGTACAGTATACCATGGTCGTCCGCCAAAAGAAATCTACAATGTAATGCTTTTTAAAGTTCGAAAGTGCACTGAGGTATTAGCCCGCATCACCTTTGTCCATTTGCATCAACTGGAGCAAAGCTCGTGAAAACAGATCTGTTCATTGTGTTCGGTGATATTGTAAGGTATACATTATCTTCACTGCAACAAACTGGTTTCACAACGGCTCAAGAAAAGAGAGGGGAACATGTCACAGCTTGTGGTAACTGCACACTAGTACACTTACCCATTGTACAATATGGTTTCCTGACCAACAACAATCACACCACCACAAGGCAACGGCACGGGTATTACCATCCTGGCTTCCGTTTCTATATTGTCCTGAAATTCCTTGGATAAAACACCCACATCTGAAGCATGGAATAGTTTTTAAAATGTCTTGATTACACATGATTATTCAAGCTTTGCTTAAAAGAAGCTATCCTGACACAGAAGCTGATCTTTGATAACAAAATTATACTTGTGCAACACAAGACTCACTTGCTTCGAAATTGTTTTCAGCTCCTTCTCTACCATTGAAAGTTCGACGGTCTTCAAGTGCCTACCATTAGAGTCCTGAGAAATGTATGCAAGCCTTATCGCGTCGCCTAAATTTTTGTAGCTTGAGTAGGACTAAAACATGAAGAACCCCTCGGATCAAAGTAAATGGCAAAAACCGTTACATAGATAGGAAATGTGTGCGGTGAGTGTTGAGGAAAACAATAAAAACAAATAGGTAAGCAAAAGAAGGGCTAACCCGATGTCTCGGTAAAGCTGAGGTCCACAATAGCAAGATCTTCGAATCGAACATTGAATGACTTTAGATCCTTGTTATCTTCCCATTGAATAATTTTTAGTGTTCCGTCATAGATACGCAAGGCAATTAACTGTAAGTAAAAATGGCGATTAGGAATTGAGAAACAACAATCAACAACAGAACAAGATTTTGCAGACGAAGATCTCCACCTATGAACTGTAAATCGAGTCCATAAAGAGTTGAAGGCTTGAAAGAAGGTGATTCATAGCACTGAGCTCACTAAGTCACCGATAAAAGAAACTCACTCCAGCTTTATTCACACAAGCAATTGGGCCGTAGTCGCTCGGCCTTCCAACGCGATCGCACACGCTGCCGGAGGCACGAGTTTTCAATTCGTTTCGTTCAATATCCCAAGCCACAACAGCCAGGTGATTCTTCGCCGTAAGAATCAATAAGCTGTCACGAGTCTGAACACACAGAAAAGTCAGAACGCAACCGAACAAATTCTCTGAAAAGGTTCCTGCACCTCGCCCCATTTCCACCTTATCACAACTAAGAACGGACCCTTGTTGAAATCCTACCTAGTTTCGAAGAAGCAGTGGCAGTAAACCTTCTGCCGAAAACGCCTAGTCGTTTCAGAAGAATTAAATTTTTCGACTTACTCTGATGGAAGACACCCAAACGAACCTCGTTCTTCGGCCGGAACAGTCGGATCGTTTCGATTCTGCCGAACACAGGAACTTCTTGAACAACCTTCAACCCATCGGAAGCAACCTTCACAATCTCCAGCCGGTTTACTTTCGCAAGGATTAGATTCATGTCCTCATCGCCTGTTTAGATAAAGAAGCATCGTAGAAGAACTAGACGAAACAGAATTCAGTATGGGCACTCGGCTCCTACAATAGCCCTGCCATGGGTCCTGGCTCGAACCGAGTGCTCGTGCCGAACGTCAACCCCTTATGGATCCTATCACCCGTACCGTCTCCTTGCATCTGTGTGTCGTATATGTAACGGTTGAAATTTGCCTATTCACACAGGGTTATGCCCTGAAAGGGACTATGTTGGCCTTGGAGTTTTACATCCATGGCATTTTATTTTACCGTAGAACCAATGAAAGAGCCAAGTGCCCATATTGAATTTTCGAACAAGAGTCTTCAGAGAGCTATATACACTTCTAAATCCCATCAAACTTACCTGTAAAGTTGCCCACGACAGCATCCGTGACGACGGACGCCTTTTTAGCAGAAACAATGTAATTCAACGCCATCTAGCAGCGAATCACTTTTGCTGGCTTATAGATACGTGGAGCAACCTAAGCCAAAGTAATTAGAAGAAGCATAGGACTCGACAAATTTCAAAATGCGACACAACAATCGTCAATCCTAATAAAACGAAACTACAGAACCATCGAGAACCAGTTGGAACGTAAACGATCCGTCCAAAAGTCGGCGTTGCTATTGGAAAAGACTTAGAGCAATGATTCATATCCCAATACCATGACTTTTAAAGAATGTATGCTCTTTGAATGGATCGGCAATATTGCGTCTGAAACTAAACTAAGCGGGCGAGTCCAACAAAAAGACAGTTTGAAGAATTTTCTCAATTGAAATCGTGTAACGCTAAGAACACGAGATAACACGCTCCACGATAAATTGCTCGTCCTATTCAATTTCTGATAGTACGCTGAACATATTCCTATGCCAACTGTCCTCTTTTTAACTCACTGTTATATTAGTTCCCTTAATTGTGAATACTTTTTACTATTACTCTTGCAAATGTAGCAAATGTATGGTAAAGGTATAAACCGCAAAGTGCCGCGCGATACAATAACGCGGACGAGTTGCCGTGTTTTTTGAAAACGGAGCAGTTGATGGCGATGTAGCGCGCACAGATTATTTATCCAATGATATTTTGCTGTTCCATAGCTCTCATATTTAGCTGAGCTTCGTTTTTTCTCTGTGTTCCGTGGACTAGAGTAGCTAACGAGGCTTTTCAGTGATGATAAGACGAGAGAATCGTTTACGAAGAGAATACATCTATCGTAAAAGCCTGGAAGAAAAACAACGTGCCATAGAGGAGAAACGCGAAAAAATTAAGGATGCCTTGGAAAATAACAAGTGAGTTAACTTTTGACGTCGATTTTATCGGAGTAGAAGCTTGTTACGCATAGGCTTACAGTCTAGACCATGGAATTTCAAATTCCACTGAGTTATCTCTGGTCTGGTTTCGTGTTGTGTTTGTGGCGAAAATTGATTTATCTTCGAATATTACCTTCAAATATGTCATATTTTTATTGATGTAGTCTGTTAAGTGCTGGTAGATCGTATAAACGCATGAAGTTTCCGTCTGTTTGCAACGTTTTCATGTGTTTCCATAAGTGGTTTCAGGAAAATTGACACCGCTCTTCGAAAAGATGCTATTGAACTTGCTAATGGCGCTGAATGGGGAGGGCAGGTATATGACTTAATTCTGTTACCGATTTTCGCTACTTCCACTGTCTCGTTCCAACTTAGATAATGTCCATTGACGACGAATATCGATGGGCAGGTACGAAGGATCCGAAAATTGTTATTACTACCAGTCGCGAGCCATCAAGCAAGTTAAAAGTGTTTGTAAAGGCAGGTTTAATGAGCCACTTTTGTTTCCGTTGGCTTGGTTACTTGAACATTCTGTGCATTGTGTGCTTTAAGGAGATGAAATTAGTCTTTCCCAATGCCCAGCGGTTGAATAGAGGTCACTACGATGTTAAACAGCTTGTACAAGCTTGTCGAGCGAACGACGTAAGCAAATCATTCCACTTTGTCGTTTTCAGCATAATTTTGTCGCAAACGATTGTTTTTAGCTTAGTTTTGATTCTTTATGCAGTGAACTTTTTACTGTTTAAGTGTCAGTTCAGGTGACAGACTTCATACTGTTGACTGAGACTCGTGGAAATCCTGATGGCATGGTCGTTTGCCATCTACCATTTGGTCCAACAGCTTATTTCACTCTGTTCAACGTTGTGATGCGTCACGATATCCCTGACAGGGAACCGATGAGCGAGCAGTATCCTCATCTTATTTTCCACAATCTTGATAGCAAACTAGGACAAAGGGTACGTTGAAAGTAGCGTAGTTTTTCTTCGGCAAGCTTTTGATTGTGTATATAGGCTTGTTTATCAGAACATATTGTAGTCACAACAGTAGGAACTACAAATGTCAAGTAGTGATAGTCAGAGAACTTTTTTCAGTTCACTTCTATCCTAAAATACCTTTTCCCTGTGCCCAAGGAAAACTCTAGAAGAGTAATCACCTTCGCTAATTTCGATGATTTTATTTCGTTTCGTCACCATACCTATACGGTACGTCTTTCTTTAATATCAGATTGTATATCACATGTGTAGATTCATTTGCTATAGGTAGTGCAAGGTGGAGAAATTGAACTGAAAGAAGCTGGACCGCGTTTCGAATTAAGGCGTGAGCATTTTCCTTCTCAACGCCCTAATTTCGTTGTGTTACATCTCTAGGTTTTTTTTCCACGAAAGACCAAGGCTTTTATTTGGGTTTTTGAATTCCTTCAGCATATGCCATCAAATTGGGAACGTTGGAGAATATAGCAGCAGCGGAAGATGAATGGGTATTGCGATCCTTCATGAACACATCAAGAAAGAGGCAGTTGTTAAGCAATAAAGAGGAGGAAAGCGACGAAGAAGACTAGTCGCCATTTGGAAGCCACGCAAATTCTCAAAGTCTGTAGTGTTGATTGGGCTTTTCAACAAAGCCGCAAACAACCGTGTTAGCTGCTTGATGTATTGCTTGTTGAATGTTGTTATTTGTTGAGGTTGTTCTTGTTTTCTGTTGCATATGAAATTCTCTTTCTTACGGAGGGAGAGTGAAATAATAATGGTTACCATATATCAAGTTCTATCGTGAAGCTAATTGTTAATGTATATTGTGAAGAAATAAAGTCTTCATTATAGCCAGAGGAAGGTCTAACTTGCACTTTGGTACCATGGCCTGCCAATGTCAGCCAAATCAGAACAGGGTTTTCATCTTTCCACCATACACGAAACCATTTTTTTTATCCAGGACAATGGATGGCTTGGTTGGCCTCAAAGAGGTTCAATGCGCATCCATGCTTGTGGTGATTGTTCCTCCGATCTAAATTCCGTGTTCGTTTGTTACAAGTTACAGCCTTTATCTACACAGGAAAGGCGAAGGTAATTTTCTCTTTTGGTGTTAGATGCAGAAACAGCCGAACAGATTTGAAATTTCAGTCAGGCACTCTGCTCTTACAGTAAACCCTTAGCTTGTCCACCACCCACCACCGTGTCCTTGCCCGAGGCTCCTTTTCGACGCGTTGTTTATGTGACGGGTGAGAACTTGCGTATTAAATAGGGTTATGCCGTGCCGGATTACTGTAGGAGCCAGTGCCATACTGAATTTTCATTTCTGTAACAGATGATAGGGTCTTGAGGAATTCTTAGGGGCAAATTGATCATTACCATGAAGTGTCGGATGGTTCCATTGTTCAGTGGCTATACTACTGTTCAGTGCAGCAAACATTTGTCATAAATACAATACTTTTCTTTTTTTGTAGCTTTTAATTCACCTATATAAGGCGAAGGCATTTACTTGATCTCCTAGCATTTGAGAGAAGCGTGGATATGTTTCCGAGAGTAGTCTACTGCTATGTTTTACAACTTTCAATCGTGCCCCACTAGCACCATATCTCGTTACCTCATGGTCCCATGGTGAGTCGTCAGGTCGGAGATATGTTTTCGTTGAAACGAAGTTCTTTTTCACTCGTTCCACCATAATTAAGAGCTCCTCATGACATAAATGAAACGAAATTAGGACAAAAACTAATGACCTGTCATTACCTCATCGCCCCCACTAACGTAGTCCATCAAATATTGCAAATCAGGATATGCCAGTACTGGTGATGCGGTTTCAGCAAGAAACCTCTAACAGGAGTCGTGCCGCTTGCTTTTCTGGTCACCGAACTACAATTTTCGAGCATCTTATCAGTTTGCTCGTTGGGGTACAAGCTTTGGTTTTGAAGAATTCCTATCAAAATTCCTTCCCCAAATCTACATGCTTTAAATGATCAGGTTCTCGAAAAGGTAATTCACTTTCGGAAGGTGGTCACCTTCGTCTCCTATTTACAATCACTGCTGTTTGTGGGCATGTAATCTGTCGTGACTTTTGAGGTTCAGCGAATGTTCTAACTAGTCTTTGTCACACCAGCCTTGCGCGCTGCCCTAACTTCCGGCACCAGTAGATAGGTAGCGGTACGAGCTAGAATGGAGCCTTACGCTGTGTTCTCATGCTCGTTTCTTCGGCTGTACGGCTCCGTTCTCCTACACTGACTGTCCCGGAGTTTTCTCGCCTCCGCTGTTCAGTGAGGCAACCTCCTCCCGTACAGAGGTCTTTCATCGCACGGTACCCTTTGCTCCCTCATATATATGCTTTTGGTGAAGAGGACGTTGAGACCATGACGACACTAACCGATCATAATGGGCCGGCACTTACGCAGGAGTGAAGACTGGTTGCGTTGTCTGAGTCTACGCTGAGAGACCTGCTGGGCGGTTCTTCCACCGCTCTTTCTCGAGCTGCCGGCGTACGGTGCCTGTTGACACCACTGCGGGTGGTCCTGTATTAGTACGGAAAACGAGCCAGGATTTGATGTTATCGGGCATACGGTTTCCCCAGTATTAGCAGCATAAGTAGGGACTTCTAACAAAGTGTTTATTTGGTATAAGTATAGTTAATGACAATGTTTTCGTAGATGTGATTATGTTGACACTTTCTCTTTGCCTTCTTTTACTCCTTTCCTCTCTTTGACTTCCTCTGTAAACAGCTACTGTAATCTTTCTTTAGAACGATTATGATTGAGAGTAGTGAGAACAGAACTTAGCCATTTCGCCTAACTCAATAGACGGCTATTAGCGAATTAAAAGGAGAGAGAAGGAAACTTGAAGAACGATCGTCCCGAGTCCTTCCCGGACACTGTGCATACCTTTTTCTTTTTCTTTTTCTTATCGAATTGATCTAATAATCCTGGCTTATTACGTCTCTGAGATGCCATCAATCTTCGTACTTTTGCTTCATCTGAACCAGGTTTCACGTCGAATCCCTGAAAAGAGGGTCTTCAGAAAAGAAGAGTCGCAATTACTCGCTAGGAATTCCTGGTTAATATATTTTTTCCTAAAAGTTCTGCGACGCAGGCTAAACATTGAAGCAATCCGGCAAGTCTGGTGAGATAATTGGCGCAATTCGAGGAAAGTATACGTGCGGTCGCGAAGCGGCTATTCATTGCGTGCACCATTTTGGGCCCACTCAAATGTTTGCTATGTGCCAGCCATTTCCAAAGTCATCGTATTGTCTAGCGACAATTTCGCAGTCTTTATTCTTTACTCATGGCAAAGGTTTCTGCTATCTGAAGGGGAAATCGTCAAGCCTGTACAAGCGTACCGCAGCGCAACAGCACGCTCACTTCCCACATTTTGTGTCCCTACATGGGCTCAATGTTTGTGTTCAATTCCTCTTGTAATTTTTTTTTCAAGTTTGCGTTATGTTGTTACTGTACCTCAGTCTGAAGAGTAGTTATCCGTTTGGCGAGATCTTTCCACGCGGCCGAATTGGCTATCAGCCTTTTTTTCACACTCCAAACGTACTGAGCTGCTGAAGAGGCAACACCGCTTAGGTGAACGTAAAAGTCTTCCTGAAAGAATATTACTGTAATTACTATTACTGTGAATTACCTTTTGGGGATGTGGGTGGGAGCTTCACTCGAGGCTACTTCCCCCTCCCCGCTTAGCCTTTGCCGAAACCCTTATATAAAAAAGGAAGTCTGTCAAATGACTCACTTAATGCAATTCTGGCAAGAGAGCCCAGACGACAGCAGAAAAGGGCGAGAACTTTGCAGGCGAACACGAAAACGGGCCACATGCTAACTGTGGGTATTTATTTGCGGGAGTCATCTTCATTAAGCTGGCGCTCTCAAGTTTGTGAACACAATATTCCCAGGTGTTCCGGTGAAGGCTCTGGCCTTATCTAGCAGCAACGCTGGTCTTCGCTAACGCTGATTAGGGAGGTTTTGAGGGGCTGGACGGACTATGACAATTATTAGAAGTCAAAATTAGTAATAGTCATTGCTCACCGATAGTAGTTCCCCTTCATACTGAAGGACGAACTTCAAATCGGGATGATCAGTGGAGAATTCTATGGATTTGCTCGACAACATTGAACCTTCAGCGCTATCGCTTCCAGGGCTCCCAAGCGCTGCATCGGGAGACGTTGCTTCCTGAGACGCTGCTTCCTGAGCAATTTAGCAATTGTATTGGATGAAACACTCAGAACAACTTTATAGCAAACTTACAGCGATATCCACTCGCGGTTCAGTCACGTTTTCTTCCTCCTGAAGAACCTAATGATGACAGGGAATCCGATAGTAAAAATCCATCTCGTATACTCGGAGTTGTCCTACTATGATCCCCAATTGGGCAACCCAACACTCACCTCTTCAGCATAGGAACCACAAAAGAGTACGGCAGCTGATGTCGTGCCCACCAGAACCAACGATTGTGTCGCATTCGCCAGAGCCATCCACATNGTGAGCAACATTGTGAGGGAAAATAGTCGGTTGTTGGGGACAAGGAGCGAACTGTTAGGCTCGCGTGCGCGTGCAACCCCCGTTCATAGAATTCGGCATCAGGCGAGATTTGATCACAAAGCTGACTTTCCTGACGTGGCGCCTTTATCCGTTACACTGCCGAGGATCCGTCAAGAAGCCATTGAGAAATACTGGCTCAGTCCCGAGAAGCACATTGTTGGGTTTGACTCCCGTCTGACTACTAGCATTTACATCCTAGCCCAGCCCTCTTCCCTAAGCAATGGTCCGCGAACTCTAGAAAGCGCTTTTTTCAACAAGGACGAACATTCCTCCACCCTTGGGTAGGTTGGAAGATGCCGGAATCAACGGCTGAATAAACTTGAACAATTGTTGATTGACGGAGATTTGAGAAGGCCCTTCGAGGAAACTCACCGGCTCCAGAGCAACGGTAAATCAAATGATCCTATCCTACCTTACTGGTCAGAGATTAGAAAGCAGGTAATCTAAATAACACCTTATCACAGTGTTCCGTTAGCTCGTCCTCACCTCGGCCGAGATTTTGTGAATCTTCTGGTTCTATGCTGCCGTTTAACCTCCCATTCTTTCTCAGATTTGATAACGATTCTCCGAACATCAAAAATTTCAAAATTTCTTCCAAAGAGACGCCACTATCAGACTGCTATTGTAGTAAAATCAGTCCTTTCAAAGTAGGAAGCCAAAACACGCCAGCCAAGTCTTTCTTTGAAATATTTACTATCGTTGTTCAAAAGGTAAACATTTATTAACAGTCGAAGAAATTCAATAATAAGCTGCATGCTCTCTAATAATCCACTTCCATCTAAATACTTTTACATCTTACATCTCTAACAGCATGGGAGTACGACAGATCAGGAAGCAAGCGGTCGCGGTGCGTGTCTGACTAGAAATCGGCAACTTGTCATTTTTGCTGTAGAGCTTGCAATCTTGCACATGATAAAGGTGATAGTGTAGACTAGTGAATGTAGGTGTAAAGTCGAACTTCTAGATTATTCTATTGACAAATAGCACTGACCGAGGGAAACCAAGTGAAAGGCACGTGTTTTTTACAAGCTTCAGAAATGCAATTTGTACAGCTGTTGTGGTGAACCAATTGATGTAGCGGGACAAGAGAAGCACCAGCCACAGCGCTCGAATCTGAGTTCTTTCAAATAGCTAGCTTCACTATTACTTATCTGCTGGGGCATAGTGTGCTCCAGCCGCCCATGAATTACTAAGTTTAAGGCCGCTACTTTTGGGCTCTGTTTGGAACCCGATTGTCCCACCACTGCGTTCAAATGCCTTGTGCTTCCAGGACATCATATAGAGCCCTCTGTAGCCGCATGTAGTTACGACAGAGATCATAGACGCCTGCTTTCAATCCGTTCGTCACATAAGCAAAAGAAACCTTCTTTCTCGTGTCGAACATCAGCTGCTGACATCCAAGGCTAGGATGACCTATCATGAGATTGTCCTGAAATTCAAAACTATCATAACAACTCTTCTTTCAACCTAACCTGAATTCCGATACCAATACATGGTATGTCACGGCGATGTAGCCATGTGGTGTGTGCGTATCACGCTCGTAAGGTATTGTATAGCTTTGCTTATCAACTTTGAAGGCGAGAGTAGAGACGTTAGGTGAGAGTAACACTGAACGTTATGGAAGAAAGCCTACAGAATTATATCTTTTACGGGCCTTAGAAGGTAATCAAGGATACATAAAGACGGCAAGTTGAATTGAGGCACCTGATGAGGTGATTATTATGTGTGAAAGGTTTCGGGCCTTGGTTCACAAGCGAGCAAATTTTGCAAATTTTTTCAGGCCTGTACTTGTCTTTTATATAGCCATATCATGTTTTTTTCGTTAGGTGGGGGTCAAATGTGTGGCTTACGCTGAAGATGATGTACCTTTCCGTTTGGGTGAGAATTCCACTGTCTGACTTACTTGAGATTTTCCTCGTGGCGGATAATAGTAGAATCCATGCCCTCTGGCGATTACTTCGTTAACGACGTAGTCGGTTTCGTTGACAACTGGTTCTTCTATAAGCGCCAGTGTTTTTTCCCCAACGATACGTCCATTGACAAACTGAAATGCCATTCGTTATTTTCCATCGGAGAATTTGGGCCAGCTTACAATTAATGTGTCGTCGATAGATAAAGGAACCTGCGCGACATAGAATCATTTTAAAGTTATGGAAAATAGAAAAAGAAAAAAAAGAAAACAATTGATATTGAGGGAGGGGTCATCCTTTTCTGGCTGGTAATTGACACATTTTCAGGATTACGCCGATCACTTATCTGGGTGGTGCCATGAAAATCTATTCGCTCGTAATATTCTGACCTATCTGACTTCTATTAGAAAAGGTGGGCTCATTTGATGCCTATTTTTTATACACACACTATGTTTGAAAGTATGACCAGTGAACATTGTGGTAAGATCAGAGTTTGGGTGTTTCCTTAGACGCACTCCTTTCAATTAGACGTGTATTAGGGTATATTATGAATTTTCGAATCATTCCTAAAAGTAATTTACTGATCCTCCGGAAGCAAAATTTCAACTTTGGTTGGGTGACAGAATTACTAAGGAGACCCTCTTGGTCCCTTTCTGGTAAAGAATCAACATTTCCAAAATTTGGTTGGTCGCTGAACCCATTTCTCGGTCGAGAATATGAGGCCGGTTTGTTGGGCACCTAGGTAAAGATCTCGCGTAGTTTATACTTTTCCACTCCAATTTATACTTTAGCTCCTAGTCTAAGGCCGCCAAGGAAATGAGTAGCAAATCCAACATTCCTCTCACTCCTACGAAGCGGACATAGTCGAAATCGTCAGACTCGTCCTTGTCTCCATGTTGGTGCTCATTTTTTCTTACACCACCGTCAATTGCAACGAACGCTTACTTTCGAGTATGCTGCCGCTGACGGAATACTGTGTGGGTACATTACAAAGAATAGCTCCATAAGATAAAGCGTTGGTGCAACCTACCAGGCTAAATGTGGAGGCCATTGAACGAGCGTTTCCAATGCTAACTGCAGTCGCTTGCTCCAATGTCTGCTGTGCAGGACTGTTCAGTGTGTACATATCCAATACGTCCACCCAAGGCAGATTTCCCATCGCCTTGGCTATGAAACTGTCCTAAACGAGATTCGCTATAGAACGAACCAATCAATAATCGGTTGAATACGGCTAGGACAATAGAACTAAATGTGATCCTAATAGAATTTTATGCGCATGCACCAAGTCTAGCGGGAAAAAAGGAAGGGAGACAAGCTTATGGCGCACGAAAAACAGTTTCACACTGCTGAGAGTGGTCTAAGCATGAGCCCGATGTCTTATGGCGTTAATCAATCTAGCGTGAGGGATGCACCCCTCATACGACTTCCGGAATTCAGAAACATAGTGGCGTAATGAATGCGTATATGGCCTTTACAGTGACTTGGCCCTGTGGCCAGCCGATCACAAGTCTCTACAGTTTTATCCTCCCAGACGAGTCTGATACCAGTTAACCGACCCTGGGACATGGAAGGTTTGGTTGGTTTAAGCAGATACCGATCAGCGATTCGAACCCGTGACCATGTGTGTGGGATAGCGCGCCACTTGCCACCACACAATCTGCGCCCTTAATAATGAGTAATGTAGACTACCTACCTTGTCAGCGAGGTACAAATCGCGTAACAGCTCAGCGATTCCTGGATCATACCATATATCGATTATCGCTTCTGAAATTGTCGATTGAGTTGCTCGAGCCACTCGATGTTTCTCAGAAGCGTCCAGACCGACGTGGAAGTCGATTCCTGGAAGAAAAGATTGAAGGAAAATACACCGAACTCAAAGATGCTTTGGAATAGCGCTACTGACAGAGGCCTGGAATAAAGAGGCTGTTGTCAAATGTGTGGAATGAGCCACAAATTTGGCTGCTTTCGTGAGTGGTGGAGTTGACCAAAGCGCATCTCAAGTTTAACGGCCTGCGAGTTCATGCGACAGGGTATTTATCTAGTTATCGCCCAGATCTATAGAGCTCTTCTATTTAGCCTGGAATTAGCTAGTTCTTACCGTTTGGTGCTGTTATCTCTTCCCTCAGAAACTGGCTGATTCCTCGATGCTTTTCATCTGCTTTTCTTATAATTTGATCCACAAGCCATCCGTAGGTGAATGAATGATATCCAGTTCCCCGTCCAGGCGGCACTTTCGGCGCTTCGTTTTCCAGCACCCCTTTCATAAGCTTGTGGTCTGTTGCCATCTCTTTAGTGATTGGAGTGTCCAAGTACGGTAAACCGGCCTGAAGAGCAGATATGATATGGACGAGGAGAAAAAGGCAAAGGCGTATTAAAAGGGGCGTAGTTTACTCGGTTGAAGTGGAAGTAAATGTATTGCAACACGATCCCAATCAGCTCGATTACCCCTTCACAAAAGAAATGAGTCGTATCGCACTATGCACGGTTTGGAAGGGATATCGCTGAAGGTCGCGAGAGAGCATTGCTAGTGCATAAACCATAGGTATCGATTGGAGGTGAGATGGCGTAGGCGACAAATCTGTTGATACTAAGCATAGTTCAATGTATAAGGTGGAAAAGGGTAGCAGGAACGCGGTACCGAGGCCAGATTGCTCTAAATAAGCAGTCAAGTAAGGAGTTGCATCTGGGCACTTCGCTACTTTGATAGGCTGAGTAGAATTGCCAATTAGACACGCGAAGAATGGTCAGTGGGCTAGGGGCGGAGCCAAAATTGCAGAGGTAGAGTTTACCATAAGCGTTGTCGGAAAACTCACCCACCATATGTGAGAGAACCCAGTCGATGGTAATATTTTCTTTGCCATTCTTCGCAAACTCAGGCCAATGTTTCGAGACGAGATCGTCGTACTTCAGACGTCCTCGGTCGACGAGTAACGCCACACATACGGCTGCAAAGGCCTTGGTTGGCGAAAACGTTACCATGAGGGTGTCCTGAAAATCAGGCTCCATCGTTTGTGATTGAGTGACAAGAGTGTTTTGAACGGAGTTTCCTGTACCTCTTTCCATGGTTGAGCCGCTTGCTTATCTGCATAGCCACCCCACAAGTCAACCACTGCACGGCCTTTCACGAAAACGGCAAATGCTGCACCCACGGACTCCCAGCCATCGCGGAAGTTTCGCCTGGGCGAAAATGGTGTTACCTTTTGCTAATTACTTATATGTATAGGCGCATTTAGAAATGAGTTATGGCAAAAGGCTTAATTTGAGTGGGAGAACACTCACTCAAATACTTCCTGGAGCCTTTCGTACCCTTCATCTGCATATCCACCAAAGTGGAACGGTAGCTCGGAATGGAACTTGTTAAAGATGAAGTGGGCTGCAAGTGCAAGGGAACCCAAAATGATTCCATACCATAATAGGCCCATTGGATCTGAAACAAGTGCTCTTTATTTTTGTTTGTTCATCGTTTAAATTCTAATTTTCCATCTGAGGGGAGCAGGTAGTGGCACAGTCGCTCGCTGTGATTCAGAAGCTGACAATGAACACCGGTCTCGCAATCGGTGCTATTAGGCAGTAACTTTTGTCACGTTCACGTTAACCGTCTTTAAAACGAATGTTTTGGCAAATGATCAACTTTTGAAAAGGTCGAATTTTTGTTTATATATGTAGGAGGAGGTGCCTGCTGTTGGGGAGAATTCGATGGGGTGCGCTCTCCGTCCGTTCTTCCATAGTGGAATGGGTAGAGGAATTGTGTAAGATAATTGTGTGAAGCACATTTTGATAGTAGGGAACATGGAACATGGGTAAAAAAGGAAAGAGGTAGATAAGTTGAAGAACGGACAGACAGAGAATGAATTGTTTGAAGTGACCGAATCAACTACCATTGCTCGGAAAACACTTGCAAGGGCATTACTGATAAAAAACTTTGTTCGAATCGATTGCAACTCTTTCCTAAACTCGATTTGCCATCACCTTTTGCTTCCATCACATGATGACAACGTTCCCAAGGCGCATCAAATAACTACTTGACGAGAAGTTCATTTTCTTCCTATTCACTGTAGATCTTATTCACCTTTGCTGCAGATTAACGAGGTTCACTTTCTTGCAACTGGTTCTTCATGAAAAGTGTCAATTGAATAGTCGTTTTCGAATTCTAGAGAACGGGACGTGTCTGATGTTTCCATTGAAACCTGCTCGGCATTTTCTATCCCGATAGGCTTACTGCAGGCTGATGAGGGCGGCTGAAGAGGCAACACCGCTTAGGTGGACGTAAATATCTTCCTGAAAGAGTATTACTGTAATTACTACTAGTTCGGATTACCTTTTAGGGATGTGGGTGGGAGCTTCACTTGAAGCCTTGGTAAATGCAAGGTTGGTATAGAATTTACCCCCTCTTTGAAGGTTTTTTTTCGCTTGTTCAAAATTAAATTATGGTCAAAAGGATAGGCAGTTGAACTATAACAGGGAATGGCCGTTCATTATGCATAAAAAAGGAAGTCTGTCAAGTTACTCACTAAATGCTATTCTGGCAAGAGAGCCCAGACGACGGCAGAAAGTGCGCGAACTTTGCGATCGAACACGTAAACGGGCCACATACTAACCGTGGGTATTTATTTACGACACTCATCTCCATTAAGTCGGCGCTCTAAAATTCGTGAACCCAATATTTCCGCAGCAACGCTGGTCCCTGCTAACGCTGATTAGGGAGGTTTTGAGGGGCTGGACGGACTATGATAATAATTAGCAGTCAAAATTAGTAATAGTCATTGCTCACCGATAGTAGTTCCCCATCATACTGAAAGGCGAACTTCAAATCGGCATGATCAGCCGAGAATTCTATGGATTTGCTCGCCAACATTGAACCGTCAGCGCTGTCGCTTCCACGGCTCCCAAGCGCTGCATCAGGAAACGCAACTCCTTCCTGAGCTATTGTAGGTTGGATGGAGAATTCAGAACAATTTCAAAGCAAACTTACAATATCTACTCTGAGTTCAGTCACGTTTTCTTCCTCCTGAAGAACCGTATGCTAATGATGACAGGGATCACGATAATAAGAATCCATCTGGTTCGTAAGTTCTACTGGGAGTTGTTTTACTATGATCAATTGGGCAACCCTACGCTCACCTCTTCAGCATACGAACCACAGAAGAGTACAGCAGCCGATGTCGTGCCCAACAGAACCAACGATTGTGTCGCATTCGCCAGAGCCATCCACATAACACCAAAAAGACCGGAAATCAGTTCAGTGAGCAACATTGTAAGGGAAAATAGTCGGTTGGTGGGGATAAGGAGCGACCTGTTAGGCTCGCGTGCGCGTGCGACCTCCCTACATAGGATTCGGCATCAGGCGAGTTTTGATCACAAAGCTAAGCTTTCCTGACGTGGCGCCTTTATCCATTACACTGCCGAGGACCCGTCAAGAAACCATTGAGAAATATTGGCTCAGTCCCGAGAAGCACATGGTTGGGTTTGGCTCCCGTCTGCTACTAGCATTTACACCGTAACCCAGCCCTCTTCTCGAAACAATGGTCCGCGAACTCTAGAAAGCGCTTTTGTCAACTACGGCGAACGTTCCGTCACCCTTTGGTAGGTTGGAAGTGCTGGAATCAACGGCTGAATAAACTTTGGCGTGTCATTTGTTTACTGACGGGGAACTCGAGAGATCCTTCGAGGAAACCTCACCGGTTTCAGAGCATCGGTAAATCAAATGATCCTAACCTACCTTGCCGGTCAGAGTTTGGAAAGCAGGTGATCTGAATGACACCTCATCACAGTCAGGATAGGTGTTCCCTTTGCTCGTCCACACCTTGACCAAACACTTTCTGGAACATTTGGTTTCGTGGGGCCATCTAATCTGCGATCAATTCCCGAAGTAAATATCGCTTGTCCGTACCATAGACATTTCTCAAAAACATACAGTGAATGGACTATGGTTGTTGGAAAAGCAGTCTTTCCAAAGTAGCAACGACAAAACATGCCAGTGAAGCCTCTCTTTTGAAGTGTTTATTATCATTGTTTTGAAGGCAAACATTTATTAAAGGTCAAATAAATGCAACATCAGACTGCATGCTCACTACCCACCCAATTCCATCTGAAAACAATTACATCGTAAATTTCTAACAGCATGAGAGTGCGACAGATCAGAAAGCGAACGGTCGCGTTGTGTGTCTGACTACAGATCGACGACTTTCGTTTTTGTCGTGGAGCTTCCAATCTTGCTTACCCCGAAGGTAGTGGAGTAGACAGGCGGAAGTGGGTGAACAATTAGATTTCTAAACTCTTCTACCTACAATAAGTGTAGATCCTACAGTAAACCAGAGCGAAGGCATATGTTTTTATGCAAAATCTAGAAATTGAGCAAAGTCTTAAGTTGTAGAGGTGAATTCTTAAGTTGTAGAGGTGAACCAGTGAATGTAGTGGAATAGAGGAAGCAGCGGTCTTACCAATTAAACCCGGGTTCTTTTACAAAGCCATCTTATTTGTGGCTTACCGGGTGATGCACAGTGTACTTCAGCCACTAGGATCACTAGGTTGAAGGCCGCTACTTTTGAGCTCAATTTGGGTCTGATTTTACCCTGGTACGTTTAAATGCCTTGTGCTTCCAAAACATCATATAGGGTCTTCTGCAGCCTCATGTAATTACGACAGAGATCATAGGCGCCCGCTTTTAATCCGTTCGTCACGTAAGCGAAAGAAATCTTCTTTTTCGTGTCGAACATCAGCTGCTGGCATCCAAGGCTAGGATGACCTATCATGAGATTGTCCTGAAATTCAAAACTATCATAGTTACTGTTCTTTGAATGAAACCTCGATTTATTTCCCGTACACTGCTTTGTATGTCACGTCGATGTAGTCATATCGTGCGTGTGCATCGCCTCCGTAAGATATTATAGAGATAGACTTTAAAGACGAGAATGGAGGGCATATATGAGGGTACCGGTCGATTTTGTTAAAGGAACTCCACAGAATTCATGTATCCAAATAATATAGACCTTATAGGAAATCAAAAAAGGAAAGAATAGGAACGACAAGTCGAATTGAGACAAGGGGGTTATCGTGTGTAAAAAGGCCAGGCTTCAGTTCATGGGTGTTTTTTCTTACCAAAATGATACCTGGCCTCTTACAGGAACAGATCATGTTTTGCATTGGTAGGTGAAAGGCAAATGTGTGTCTTACATTGAAATTGTATGCCGTTCCATTCGGATGAGAATCTCGTCGGACTCACTTCAAATTTTCCTCGTGGTGGGTAGTAGTAGAATCCATGCCCTCTGGCGATTACTTCGTTAATGACATAGTCCGTTTCGTTGACCACTGGTTTCTCTATAAGCGCCAGGGTTTTTTCGCTAACGATACGTCCGTTGACAAACTGAAATGCTATGCATTAGTTTCCATAGGTGAATTTGGCCTGCTCAGTTCAAGACTTGATTATTTACTTGATCATAATGGATCTCTGCGCGATATAGAATCTAAGTTTCGACGGGAAGAGGAAAGCATTCGACGTTGAAAAGTCGTTCATTTCTGGTGGGATAACAGTCACCTTTTAGAATAACGCCGATCTATACTGTGGAGTCATGAAAGTCTACTGGCTCGTAAGATTAAGGCTTACCTGGTTCAATCTAAAGAAGGTGAGTGTATTTGACGTCTTTTCACAACGCTTTCAATATTCCCCATTGATTCTTTGTACACACATAAAGTCCAAAAGTATGACAAGTGAACGTTGTGGAAGGATCAATGTTCAGATCATTTCTTACTTCCAAGACAGCCTCCGAAAATAATGTGAATTCCCGGCTTTTTGATCAAAAAAGTACATTTCATCATCTTCTGGGAACGGAGTCGTGGTTGTGAAAGGATCGCGAAGGAACTCTCTCTAGTTCTTGCTAAATTATAATATCAACCTCCCTAAAATTTGCTAAGTTGCTGAACCCTTTTCTCGATCGCTGTACTGGTGATAATGCTGTGCCGAAAAACTGAGTAAAACCAGTCCCATCACATGAAGATCATTCACCCGTCTATTTTTTCAGAACATTTTGTTACGAGCTCACTTCTCTATTTACAATTTGGGCTCAGTTTCTTGGACCAAAGGGAGAATACGTGCAGTTCGAACTCTTCTACCCTGTACCCTTTTACCTCCTATTGAGAAACATAGAATTCCTCTCATCTCTGAGAAGCGCACCTCCTCGTAGTCGTTCCAGTGAAAACTCATCTTTTTCTATGCTAATGTCTGTTTTTTCTTGTATCACAGTCAACTACAACGATTGCTTATTTTCGAGTCTGTTGCCGCTGACGGAATACTGTGTAGTTACTTGACAAAGAGTAGGTTCGTGGAATAAAGCCTAGGTGCAACCTACCAGGCTAAATATGGAAGCCATTGAACGAGCATTCCCAATGCTAATTGCAGTCGCTTGCTCTAATGTCTGCTGTGCAGGACTGTTCAGTGTGTACATATCCAATACGTCCACCCAAGGCAAATTTCCCATCGCCTTGGCTATGATACTGTCCTATACGAGATTTGTTACAAAACGAATCAGAAAAAAGAAAAAGAAACGAGTCTATGGTGCACGGGAAATAGTTTCTCACTGCAGGGGTAGTCTAGTTATGAATAATGTAGACTACGACTACCTACCTTGTCAGTGAAGTAGAACTTGCGCACCAGCCCAGCGATTCCTGGCTCATACCAGATATCGATGATCGCTTCTAAAATTGTCGATTGAGTAGCTCGAGCCACTCGATGTTTTTCAGAAGCGTGTAGACCGACGTGAAAGTCGATTCCTGGAAACCATACTGCAAGACGCTTTGAAATAGCGCTACTGATTGAGGCCTGAGATAAATAGGCTGTTGTCAAAGGTTTGGGAATGAGCAACGAATCTAGCTACTTCTGGAAGTGGTGGATTTGATTGAAGGCGCATCCCTGGTACAACGGGCTGCGAGCTCATATAAAAGGGTATTCAATTTCTAATTGCCAAGACCTATAAAGCTTTCCTTTATATGTAGCCTGGTATTAGCCAGCTCTTACCGTTTGGTCCTGTTATTTCTTCCTTGAGGAATTGGCTGATCCCTCGATGCTTTTCATCTGCTTTCCTTATAATTTGATCCACGAGCCATCCGTAGGTGAATGAGTGATATCCAGTGCCCCGTCCAGGCGGTACTTTCGGCGTTTCGTTTTCCAACACCCCTTTCATGAGCTTGTGGTTCGTTGCCATCTCTTTAGTGATCGGCGTGTCCAGGTATGGTAAACCGGCCTGAAGAACTAGTATGATATGGACGAGGAGAAAAAGGCAAAGGCGTATCAGAAGGGGTGGAGTTCCGGACAAATCTACTGATGCTAAACGTAGTTCAAGATAGAAGGTGAAAAAAAAGGTAACAGGGATCCGGTAACAGGGCCTCATTGCTACAAGTAAGCAGTCAGGTAGGAGGTTGTGCCTAGGCACTTCGTTACCCTTAAAAGAATTATCGATTGTACACCAACCAATGAACTGTATGTAGGCTGTGAGTGGTGCCAAAATTGCAGAGGTACAGTCTAAGCGAATTGTTGTCAAAAACTCACCCACCATATGTGAGAGAACCCAGTCAACGGTGATGTTTTCTTTGCCATTCTTCGCAAACTCAGGCCAATGTTTCGAGACGAGATCGTCGTACTTCAGACGTCCTCGGTCGACGAGTAACGCCACACATACGGCTGCAAAGGCCTTGGTTGGCGAAAACGTTATCATGAGCGTGTCCTGAAGATCAGGCTCCATTATTTGTCACCCAAGAATGCTTTGGACAGAGTTCCGTGTACCTCTTTCCATGGTCGAGCCGCTTGCTTATCCGCATAGCCACCCCACAAGTCAACTACTTTGCGGCCTTTCACGAAAACGGCAAATGCTGCACCCACGGACTCCCAGCCATCGCGGAAGTTTCGCCTAGACGTCAATTAAGAAATAGTTTATTCGCAAGGTCTGGGAGAACACTCACTCAAATACTTCCTGGAGTCTTTCGTACCCGTCATCCACATATCCACCAAAGTGTAACGGCAGTTCAGAATGGAACTTGTTAACGATAAAGTGATTTAAGAGAGCGAGGCAACCCAAAAGGATTCCATGCCATAGTAAGCCCATCAACTCTGAAAGAAATAAACTGTATTCCTAATCGGTTGTCGAGTAATTTAGTGATTCCCAACTTTTTTTATGTTTCCCGGATTCAAACTCGAATTACTAGTGGCGGCGGGGTAGTGGCTTGTCTCTGTCTCTGTATGATAAAAGGATGACAGTGAAGCATTTGTCTCAGAAGCGGTGCTCTTAGGCGATTACTTCCCACCACGTCTACGTTCACGACCACCGTCTCTTACATTTTCTTGGAAAATTGAAAAGTCTGCTCACTTCAAAGGAATAGAAGAAGTGCTCAGACGGGTTCACTTTTCGCCCATATGTCAATAAAGGAATGCGTAGAGAATTGATGGAACATGTGTGTAAAAGGAAGAAAAAGCAGATAAATAGGTTGAAGAGCGGATAGAGAGAGAATGAATTAAATGAAGTGATCAAATCAATTACCATCGTTTGGAGTACTCTCGCAAGGGCATTCCTAACATAAAAACTCTGTTCGAATCGATTACAACTCCTTCTCAAACTCGATTTGCCATCACCTTTCGTTTCCATCATGATGGCAACATTCCCAAAGCGCATCAAACAACTACATACGTTGACGAAGAGCTCATTTTCTGTTCCCATCCACTGTAGATCTTGACTTTTGCTGCAGACTTACGAGGTGTAAGTACTCAAAATTAGTTCCCCAAAAACATTACCACTAAAAATTTGTTTTCGAATTCTCAACACCTGAAATGTGTCTGGGACTTTCCCTTGAAACCTGTTCGGCATTTACTCTCCCCCAGCTACTGTGAAGATGACTATAGATGGCATTTTGTAATTCTTCTTGGTAGTCAGAAGTTCCGTTTTTTGCAAAGAGTCGCCGGACAGTGAGTGCCAGAGTATTTTATCATAAATAGTGCAATGGGAGAATAGAAAGTTTGAGTGGGAATCGTTCAACCGTTTGGAATTCGTTTCGTTCGTGTATACAGTACATGTAATAGTGTTACTGCAGTGTATCATATTTTATCACTTCATACCACTTGATATAAATGCAGGACATCATAATTTATACCATACTGATAGGTTACGATGAAACTTTTGCTCAAGTGTCTTGGAAAGCTTACATCTTCTAATATTTTATCATAAATATGGCATAATAGAGCATTAAATAATACACGTATTTTACTTAATCCTTTTTTGCTGATCTACATTATTTGTACATACACTAATCAGTCGGGAACTAAAAATAACAAGGATATCAACAAGCATGTTCTGCTGTGCTGGGATGGGGTTCTTGACGAGCGACTTTCCTCGCTTTATCCCTTAACCGTTTATACTTTCAAGGCACTATAGAGAGCATTTTGTAGCCGCATATAGTTCCGGCAGAGAACGTATTCCCTCGCTTTCATTCCATTTGCCACATAAGCGAATACGATTTTATTCTTCATGTCGAACATCACCTGCTGGCATCCCAGGCCGGAATGGCCCATCATTGAATGTTTCTGAAAATGAACGTTATTATAAATTTTACGTTTCCCACCAATCTATAGCGACTATATCAGCAGTGTATGTCACGGCAATGTCGTTACAATGCAGTGGAAGAGAGGTCGTAACGAGGGAGACAACTAGATAGTAGGGAAGTTCTCATCAATCAATAAACATCCTAAATGGAAAAAAAGGTTTGCGGAAGGAAAACCGATGAGGATGGGCTTAATCAGCTCGTCATAGTTTTGGAGAAAATCACCCTCATTCTATAACGCTGAACGATCTCTATTTCGGTAGAGTGCAATTACATCACCGTGACATACATTACCAACATATTCAAATCTGCTCTACGCAATTTACACTGTATTCAGTAAAAACACATACGAGTTGATGAAAAAACTAAAAAACTAATTTCTTGGAAAAGATCTGTACTTTTTAACCCACTTCATTTTCTCGTATTGGCGGATAGTAGAAGAATCCATGTCCTTTGACAGTCTGTTCATTCAAGACGTAGTCTGTTGTGTTGATAACTGGTTTTTGTAGAAACGCCATCGTTTTCTCGCTTACGATATGCCCATTAACTAGCTTAAAACGTATAATTTACAGCAGTGAAGCTAAACAGTCTTGGCAGGGGAATAAAGACTGAGGTGACACGAATTTTTTAGACCTGGTCAACGCTGTCTTGGGATGCGCTATGCATTCGACTCCAGCCCCAAAACTCAGTGATTTGTTTATGCGTATCGCGTCCACTAAGGCTATAGAAAGAAGGCGGACCAATCGCTTTTGACGACAGTGCATTATCTACCCAAATAAGTCTGGTACCCGCTAACCGTACCTGTCAAGATGAAAGGCTTGTTTGAACTATTTGGATTAGGCGGGTATAGAATCGGAATTTAAAGCCTGGATCATGATCAGTAGTATATCGTGAATGGCATTGTCTTGTCATTATCGGAGACATACCTTCCCTTTTCTGCGAGACATTTTGTGTGAATCGTCACGATGGGTTTGCATTAGACACCGGGTGGGGGAGACGGGCGTTAGGAACGATTTTGGGTAATCGATTTGCCGCACGCGGCTGTCGCGGACCACTCATTCG